TGACCCTGTACTTTACCAAGCATGATGTCCTTCTCCAGGGACTGATCCCTCCTGACAACATGTCCAAAGTATGTAAGACGCAGTCTCACCATCCTTCTAAGGAGCATTCTGGTTGTAGGTACTTCTTCCAATATGGATGACTCATGTATGACTCACATATGAGTCATCCATATACCAATAGAAACTGAAGCTAAGAAAATTTAAAAATATTTATTAATCCATTAACAATAAATCCATTGCATGTTAACATGACATTTCATGAAAAATTTATTATATTTTCTAAAGCAAAAAAGAAAATTAAAGAGAAGAATGGTGTCGTTTTACACTTCTGCTAATCTCTTTAACGTCTAGCTTAATGGAAGACGGGTGGTGTCTCATCTGCTTCCACATTTTCTCTGTTATGAGATCACACATCATGGAAAACTCCTCTGTACACACATAAGACAGTGAAAGTAAAAATGCCCAATAACGTCTTAAGATTATTTTGCAAATAAGTATTGACCTCACAGAGCTCACCTGACAGGCTCTCAGGAGAACCTCAGGGATCCCTGGACCACTCTTTGAGAACTGCTGCTGAATACTCACCGCTTATGGGATTATACCACAATTCATATATCCTTTCTATTGTGGATGCGTGAGTGGAGAGTTGGGGTCTGCTGTGGATTAAATTGTGTCCCCTAAAAATGTGTGTCAACTTGGCTAGGCCATGACTCCCAGTATTGTGTGGCTGTCCACCAATTTGTGATCTGATGTGATTTTCCTATGTGTTGTAAATCCTACCCTCTATAATAAGGCAGGATTGGAGACAGTTTTGTTAATGAGGCAAGACTCAATCTACAGGATTAGGTTGTATCTTGGGTCAATCTCTTTTGAGATATAAAAGAGAGAATTGAGCAGAGAAGAGACAGACCTCCTGCCAATAAGAAAGAAGTGCCAGGAGTGGAGTGTGTCCTTTGGACCCAGGGTCCCTGAGCTGAGAAGCTCCTAGACCAGGGACCAGGGAAAGATTGATGACAAGGACCTTCCCCCAGAAATGAGAGAGAGAAAGCCTTCCCCTGGAGCTGCACCCTAAATTTGGACTTCTAGCCTCCTAGACTGTGAGAGAATAAATTTCTGTTAAAGCCATCCTCTTGTGGTATTTCTGTTATAGCAACATTAGATAACTAAGAATCTATAATAAATATTATCACTCAGTTGTAAAGGAAATTTTTCTAGATTGCATTTTTTATCAATCAAGGAGACTTTACTGTTGTGGAGGACTTTTTCCTTCCCCATTCAGCTGTCCATTCACTTTTCTTGCCAGCAGGAGTTCTCCACCTCCCCTCTCTCCATTCTTAACCATCACACTGGGCTGGTGCCTGGCTTTCTCCAAGACACCTGCCCTCATGACCTCAGCACACCCTGGACTCCCCCTTCTCTGAACCCTTCCCTGAGTGAATCTCAAGTCTACTTTCCTGATTCATAGACTGTGGTATGAACAGCACCCCTGGAATTTAGCAGCTGGCAACCCCATTCCCAAGTACCGTTCATTTCTGGTGTTATTCTTAGGTGCCGTTGAGTTGGTTCCGACTCATAGCAACCCTGTGTACTACAGAACGAAACACTGCCCGGTCCTGTACCATGCTCACAATCATTGTTATGCTTGAGCCCACTGTTGCAGCCACTGTGTCAATCCGTCTCATTGAGGGTCTTCCTCTTTTTCACTGACCCTCTACTTTACCAAGCATAATGTTCTTCTCCAGGGAACAGTCCCTTCTGATAACCTGTCCAAAGTATGTGAGACGAAGTCTTGTCATCCTTGCTTCTAAGGAGCATTCTGGCTGTACTTCTTCCAAGACAGATTTGTTCATTCTTCTGGCAGTCCATCATGTATTCAATATTCTTTGCCAACACCACAACTGAAAGGCATCAGTTATTCTTCAGTCTTTACATTCATTCTCCAGCTTTCCCATGCATATGAGGCAATTGAAATTACCATGGCTTGGGTCAGGTGTACCTTAGTCCTCAAAGTGACATCTTTGCTTTTCAACACTTTGAAGAGGTCTTTTGCAGCAGATTTGCCCAATGCAATGTCATTTCATTTCTTGACTGCTGCTTCCATGGGCAATGATTGTGGATCCAAGGAAAATGAAATCCTTGACAACTTCAATATTTTCCCATTTATCATGATTCTGCTTATTGGTCCAGTTGTGAATATTTTTGTTTTCTTTATGTTGAGGTGTAATCCATACGGAAGGTTGTGGTCTTTGATCTTCATCAGTAAGTGCTTCAAGTCCTCTTCACTTTCAGCGAGGAAGGTTGTGTCATCTGCATATCGCAGGTTGTTAATGAGTCTTCTTCCAATCCTGATGCCCCATTCTTCTTCATATAGTCTAGTTTCTTGGGTTATTTGCTCAGCATACAGATTAAGTATGGTGAAAGGATACAACCCTAATGCACACCTTTCCTGATTTTAAACCACACACTATCCCCTTGTTCTGTTCGAATGACTGCCTCTTTGTCTATATACAGGTTCCACATGAACACAAGTGTTCTGGAGTTCCCATTCTTTGCTATATTATCCATAATTTGTTATGATCCACACAGTCGAATGCCTTTGCATAGTCAATAAAACACAAGTAAACATCCTTCAGGTATTCTCTGGTTTGAGCCAGGATCCAGCTGACATCAGCAATGATATCCCTGGTTGCACGCCCTCTTCTGAATCCGGCCTGAATTTCTGGCAGTTCCCTGTCAATATACTGCTACAGCCTCTTTTGAATGATCTTCAACAAAATTTTACTTCTGTGTGATATTAATGATATTGTTCAATAATTTCCGCATTCAGTTGGATCACCTTTCTTGGGAATAGACATAAATATGAATCTCTTCCAGTCAGTTAGCCAGGTAGCTGTCTTCCGAATTTCTTGACGTAGATGAATGAGCACTTCTAGCGCTGCATCCGTTTGTTGAAAAGTTTCAACTGATATTCGGTCAATTCCTGGAGCCTTGTTTTTCACCAATGCCTTCAGTGGGACTTGGACCTCTTCCTTCAGTACCATCAGTTCCTGATCATATGCTACCTCTTGAAATGGTTGAACTTCGACAAATTCTTTTTGGTATAATGACTGTGTATTCCTTCCATCTTCTTTTGATGCTTTCTGCATCGTTTAATGTTTTCTCCATAGAATCCTTCAGTATTGCAACTCTAGGCTTTCTTCAGTTCTTTCAGCTTGTGAAATGCCTAGCATGTTCTTCCCTTTTGGTTTTCTATCTCCAGGTCTTGTACATGACATTATAATACTTTACTTTGTCTTCTCGAGCCACCCTTTGAAATCTTCTGTTCGGCTCTTTTACTTCATCGTTTCTTCCTTTTGCTTTAGCTATGTGACATTCAAGAACAAATTTCAGCATCTCTTCTGACATCCATTTTGGTCTTTTGTTTCTTTGCTGTCTTTTTAATGACCTCCTGCTTTCTTCATGTATGATGGCCTTGATATCATTCCACAAGTCATCTGGTCTTTGGCTATTAGTGTTCAGCGTGTCAAATCTATTCTTGAAATGGTCTGTAAATCCAGCTGGGATATACTCAAGGTTGTACTTTGGCTCTCGTGGACTTGTTCTAATTTTTTTTGGTTTCAACTTGAACTTGCCTATGAGCAATTGATGGTCTGTTCCGCAGTCGGCCCCTGGCCCTGTTCTGACTGATGATATTGAGCTTTCCCATCGTCTCTTTCCACAGATGTAGTCGATTTGATTCCTGTGTATTCTATCTGGTGAGGTCCGTGTGTGTAGTCGCTGTTTATGTTAGTGGAAAAAAAGTATTTGCAATGAAGAAGTCATTGGTCTTGCAGAATTCTATCATGCAATCTCCAGCATCAATTCTGTCATAAAGGCCATATTTTCCAACTATGGATCCTTCTTCTTTGTTTTCAACTTTCACATTCCAATCACCATAATTATCAGTGCATCGTGATTGCATGTTTGATCAATTTCAGACTGCAGAAGTTGGTAAAAACCTTCAATTTCTCCATCTTTGGCCTTAGTGGTTGGTGCATAAATTTGAATAATAGTTGTATTAACTGGTCTTCCTTGTAGGCCTGTGGATATTATCCTCTCACTGACAGCGTTGTACTTCAGGATAGATCTTGAAGTGTTCTTTTTGACGATGAATGCAATGTCATTCCTCTTCAAGCTGTCATTCCCGGCATAGTAGACCATATGATTGTCTGATTCACAATGGCCAGTATCAGTCCATTTCAGCTCACCAGTGCCTAGGATATCAATGTTTATGCCTTCCATTTTATTTTTGACAATTTCCAATTTTCCTAGATTCATACTTCATACATTCCAGGTTCCGATTATTAATGGATATTTGCAACTGTTTCTTCTCATTTTGAGTCAGGCCACATTAGCAAATGAAGGTCCCAAAAGCTTGACTCCATCCACGTCATTAAGGTCGACTCTACTTTGAGAAGGCAGCTCTTCCCTAGTCGTCTTGAGTGCCTCCCAACCTGGGGGGCTCATCTTCCATCACTATATCAGACAATGTTCTGCTGCTATTCATAAGGTTTTCACTGGCTAATTCTTTTCAGAAGTAGACTGCCAGGTCCTTCTTCCTAGTCTGTCTTAGTCTGGAAGCTCAGCTGAAACCTGACCACCACGGGTGACCTTGCTGGTATCTGAATACCAGTGGCATAGCTTCCAGCATCACAACACTCAAGCCCCCACAGTATGACAAACTGACAGACATGTGGGGGATTTCTGGTGTACTGCGGTTGAATTTTGAGTCTTCTCTCCAAAGAAACTTTAAGTTCTGTAGAGTAAAAATATGCCCCTATATCTTTTCCATTTTCTACGTAATGTAGCACAAGCAGGTGTATAGGTGTGTGCCTAAATTAGCCTAACTTGGGAACTTGGAAACTTCAGGACCATGTATACATGTCCAAATTTACTTGTGCTGTGAGCTGCAATCCTCTGTGGGGATAGATATGGCTGAGGATGACTGTTTGATGTTTTAGAAGCTGGTGACATTTAAGGATGTGGCTGTGGACTTTACCCAGGAGGAGTGGGAATGCCTGGATTCCTCTCAAAGGCACCTGCACAGAGAAGTGATGTTGGAGAACTTTGAGAACCTCGTCTCCTTGGGTGAGGACGGTGTTTCCCTGCATCTGTCTGCTCTCTCAGTGGTTCAAATACGTGGAATAAATCTTGAGGATTTAACTCAACTTGGGTTTGGGGGTCCACACATTCTAGATCCCTTATGGCAGTGGGTATCAGACTTGAGAATGCATAGGAATACTTGAGCCACTGGTTAGAAAAGCCAGTTCTTGTCCAAATTAAAGAAGACTAAAGAGACATGACAGCTAAAGGCAGTGTTTTATCATGGATAAAAATATCTAGGAAAAAGTGGTTATAAAGGATATAACTTGGACAATCGGCATTATTTGAAAATTACCTGTGGATTAGATAATAACACTGTATCAACATTAAATTCTCTGATTTTAATAACTATTCTGTGGTTATAATATACCGTAGCTGTTCTTAGGAAATAACATAGTGAAGAATTTAGGCATAGACAGCCATGGGGTTTGCAACTTTCTCCCAAATGGTTTAGAAAAGAATGTGGGTGTGTGTGCATGTGCATGCACCCATGTGCTGGTAGAGCAAATAGTAAACCAAATGGGGCAAAATGTTTGTAATCGGTGTATATGGATTAAGAGGTCTATGGGAGTTCTTTGTATTATTCTTGCCACTTTTCTGTGAAATAAAAAGTTATCCAGAAAATGCAAGCTCTTGGGTTTTATCCACTGAATCAGTGGATTTGGGGTGGAGTCTGCATTTTTGACAAGTCTTCAGGCCATACTTTATTCAGCATTTGCTTGAAGGCAAAGAATTGTTACTACCTCTTCAACCCATTGAGAATTACTATATTTTATATTGGAAAAGAGCTCTGGTGGCGTAGTGGTTAAGAGCTCGCCTGCTAACCCAGAAGGCAGCAGTTCAAATCCACCAGCCGCTCCTTGGAAACCCTATGGGGCAGTTCTGCTCTGTCCTGTAGGGTCATTATGAGTTGGAATCAACTTGATGGCAGTGGGTTTGGTTTTGGTTTATATTGGAAATGGGCCTCATCACTGAAGTTCCCTGGAAGTTCACCTTTCTCAGTCTTCAGGGGACCTTCACAAACAGCAAGATTTGAGTTGTAGGAGAGTCCTTGTCCACAGCACAGTGCCCGATCCACATCTCTTTTCCCTCAAGCAGGGCATCTGCTGTCCAAGCCAGAAATGATTTTTCACTTTGAACGACTAGATGATGTGTGGATGGAAGAAGAAATGCCAAGAAGCTCCTGTTCAGGTGAGTACCAGTTAACTAGGAGTAAATGCCATCAACAACCCCATGAATCCATGAGGGGTTGGGTAACAACATATTATTTGACTTCGTATGCTGATAATATTTCCAAAAATATTCTGTTGGTTCCTCATTAAAGTCTTTGACAAGTGTTCATTTCATATTTGTATAAAAATGAATGTTTTTAAGTTTTTGAAAATTATACTTTGACAATATTAACCCCTTACCTTTGAAGCAAAAACCAAAAAGATAGTAGGACAGAGACCAGCAGCTCAACACTCTTCCACTCAGTGAAGCTTCTTTGCCTTACAGTACTACCTGAGAGTATGTCCAGATGTGCCATGCAGCCTCTGACAAAACCCCTGCTCACTCTCATCGTCTAATTTTCTTTATTCCAGGAGTCAGGGATGAGAAGGATGGGACTCTCCCTTGGCAGGTATCTCCAGGAGAAAAACCCTATAGCTGTCCCCATTGTGGCCAGGACTTCTGTCAACACAGAAACCTTCTAATTCATCAGCAAACCCACACAGGAGAGAAACCCTCTCCATACAACAGGTGTGGAAAAGCCTTCAGTGAGAGGACAACAGACCTTAACCTTCCAGTGCTTCTCCCAGGAGAGAAGCCCTACCAATGTGTGAAGTGTTCCAGGGTCTTCACCTCAGTGTCTGCTCTGGGAAGGCACAAGAAGGGCCACGTGGGAAAGAAGCCTCACACGTGTGAGGAATGTGGAAAGGACTTCAGCTGTAGCTCCAACCTGTCTATCCACCAGCGAGTGCACACAGGCGAGAAGCCCTTCAGATGTGGTACGTGTGGAAAGGACTTCAGCCGTAGCTCCAACCTCTCTATCCACCGGCGAGTGCACACAGGTGAGAAGCCCTTCAGATGTGGCACGTGTGGAAAGGACTTCAGCCGTAGCTCCAACCTCTCTATCCACCAGCGCATCCACACAGGCGAGAAGCCCTTCAGGTGCTGTGACTGTGGCAAGGATTTCAGCCGTAAGGCAGCCCTACAGATCCACCAGAGTGTCCACACAGGAAGAAAGCCTCATGCCCGTAAGGCCTGTGACCAGGGCTTCACCTCACGCTCTGCACTAGCACGACACCAGCAGGACCATGCAGGGAGCAATGCCTACGTGTGTGACACGTGCGGCCGAGGCTTCGGCCATAGAGCCAACCTCTACCTGCACCAGCGTGTCCACAGTGGCGAGAGGCCATTCCGGTGTGAGGCCTGTGGGAAGTGCTTCAGCTGGAGGAAGGACCTGGGCATCCACCAGAGGGTCCACACAGGTGAGCGGCCCTACAGGTGTGGGGCTTGTGGGAGGGACTTCAGGCATCGCTCATCCCTCAAGAGGCACGAGAGGGTGCACACAGGGGAGAAACCCTATACCTGTGCTGTGTGTGGGAAAGGGTTCAGTCAGAGAGTTCACCTGCAGACACATCAGAGGTTGCACAGTAAGGAGAAGCTTTAGGGATTGGGCTATGCATATACAGGGGCCTCCCAGAGCCAGGGAGAATACCAGATGGGTGCTAAGTTACACAGCAAGTATATGGCCTAATGGTACATGGCATTTGTTAGTGTTTATGCAGAAAAGAACATAGATCATATGAGCATGCAGGTCGATAGGTTTTCACAAGGTGAACACATCTGTGTAACTGGCACTTGGAAGGACAGATAATTTCCAGCCTTCCCAAAAGACCCCCGCATGTCTCCTCTGCTCATTACTCCAAGTCTTAGTCATCTCGTGCTGCTATAACAGAAATACCACAAGTGGATAGCTTCAACAAAGAGAAATTTATTCTCTCCCAGTCTAGTAGGCTAGAAGTCCAAATTCAGGGGGTCAGCTCCAGGGGAAGGCTTTCTCTGTCGGCTCTGGAGGTAGGTCCTTGTCATCAATCTTCCCCTGGACTAGAAGCTTCTCTGAGCAGGCACCCTGGGTCCAAAGGACGCTCCCAGCACTGCCTTCTTGGAGGTATGAGGTCCCACGCTCTGCTCACTTCCTTTCCTTTTATCTCTTGTAAGGTAAAAGGTGGTGCAGGCCACACCCCAGGAAAACTCCCTTTACATTGGATCAGGGATGTGACCTAAGTAAGGGTGTTACATCCCACCCTAATCCTCTTTAACCACAGATTATGATTTATAACACATAGGAAAATCACAAAAGGAGGACAACCACAGAATACTGGGAATCATGGCCTAACCAAGTTGACACATATTTTGGGGGGACACAATTCAATCCATGACACCCCACAAGGGGAATCACTATCCTGACTTCTAAAACCATAGTTTAGTTTTTGTGCATTCTCAAATATATTGCAAGTAGAAATACTCTTTCATGTAAGGCTTCATTCACTCAGTACATGTCTGTGAGGATCATCCATGTTGCATGAATCAGAAGTTTGTTCATTTTATTACTGCGTATTATTTCATTATATGGATGATCCAGTTTGTCCATTCACCTGTTGATGGATGTTTATATTTGGGTTGTTAACGGTTTTTGTTTGTTATGAGTAAAGCTGCTATGAACATTTGTGTGCAAGTCTTTGTGTGGATATATGCCATCATTTCTCTTCGATATATACCTAGGAGTAGAATCGATGGATATTCTAAAACTTTTTAAAAACTGGGCCTATTAAAGTCCTAAAATGCTTGATTAATGTTTACTATGTATCAGCATACCAAAAACAATTGTGGCATCTAACAGTATGATTTTGTACCTTGGAATTTTTTTATGTACATGGAAAATTTACAAATACAGAAGTACGATAGTATAACAAACTCTTATGTCCCCATCATCAAGCTTCATCAATAATCAACTAATGGCAAATCTTGTTTTATTGATTCCACACTCCTCCCTCACAAACCCAATCATGAAGTATTTTAGAGCAAATCATACACTAATATTTCACCATTAAATAGTCTAGTGTACATCTCCAAAGCATAAGGACTTATTTAAAATCTTTCAAATGACCCTTTCCTTTAAAAAATTTTTTTTTTAATTAATGAGGTAAAATACACACAAAAAATTTACTATTTTAGCCACTTGAAACTGTACAATTCAGTTGCGTTTAATAAATACACAATATTGTGCAACGATCACCACTATCTAATTCTAAAATATTTTCATCACCCCCAAAAGAAATCTTGCACCCATTAAGCAGTCCCTCTCCATTCTCCCCTCTCCCAAGCCTCTGGTAATCTGTTCTCTGTTTCTGTGGATTTGCCTATTCTGGACATTTCATATAAATGGAATTACATAATACGTTGCCTTTTGCGTCTGGCTTCTTTGGCTTAGCATAATGTTTTCAAGTTTCATCCACGATGGAGCATGTCTCCCTGCCCTTTTCATGTATTTCTTTTATGGGTCAGTAACATGCCATTCCACCAACACATCTGTCAGTTTGTCATACTGTGGTGGCTTGTGTGATGCTGTGATGCTGGAAGCTATACCACCAATATTTCAAATACCAGCAGAGTCACCCATGGTGTCCAGATTTCAGCAGAGCTTCCACACTAAGACTAAGAAGAAGGACCCGGCAGTCTATTTCTGGAAGGAATTAGCCAGTGAAAACCTTATGAATAGCAGCCAAACACGGTCTGACATAGTACTGGAAAATGAGCCCCTCAGGTTGGAAGGCACTCAAAAGACGACTGGGGAAGAGCTGCCTCCTCAAAGTAGAGTTGATCTTAATGACCTGGATGGAGTCAAGCTTTTGGGGCCTTCATTTGCTGATGTGTCACGACTCAAAATGAGAAGAAACAGCTGCAAACATCCATCAATAATCGGCTACTCTGCCATCTTCGCCCCACCTCACCATTAATAATTGGAACATGGAAAGTACAAAGTATGAATCTAAGAAAATCAAAAATTGTCAAAAATGAAATGTAACACATAAACATTGATATCCTAGGCATTACTGAGCTGAAATGGACTGGTATTGGCCATTTTGAATCAGGCAATCATATGGTCTACTATGCCGGGAATGACAACTTCAAGAGGAATGGCGTTGCATTCATCATCAAAAAAGAACATCGCAAGATCTATCCTGAAGTACTACGATAGGATATCTATCTAGTGATAGGATAATATCCATATGCCTACAAGGAAGAAAAGTTAATATGACTATTATTCAAATTTACGCACCAACACTAAGGCCAAAGATGAAGGAATTGAAGGTTTTTACCAACTTCTGCAGTCTGAAATTGATCAAACATGCAATCAAGATGCACTGATGATTGGAATGCGAAGCTGGAAACAAAGAAGAAGGATCCATAGTTGGAAAATATGGCCCTTATGACAGAATTGATGCCGGAGATTGCATGATAGAATTCTGCAAGACCAATGACTTCTTCATTGCAAATACTTTTTTTCACCAACATAAACAGCGACTACACACATGGACCTTGCCAGATGGAATACACAGGAATCGAATCGACTACATCTGTGGAAAGAAACGATGGGAAAGCTCAATATCATCAGTCAGAACAGGGCCAGGGGCCGACTACGGAACAGACCATCAACTGCTCATATGCAGGTTCAACTTGAAACTGAAGAAAATTAGAACAGGTCCATGAGAGCAAAGTACGACCTTGAGTATATCCCACCTGAATTTACAGACCACCTCAAGAATGGATTTGATGCATTGAGCACTAATGCCCAAGACCACACGAGTTGTGGAATGACATCAAGGGCATTATACATGAAGAAAGCAAGAGGTCATTAAAAAGACAGGAAAGAAAGAGACCAAAAATGGATGTCAGAAAAGACTTTGAAATTTGTTCTTGAATGTCACGTAGCTAAAGCAAAAGGAAGAAATGATGAAGTAAAAGAGCTGAACAGAAGATTTCAAAGGGTGGCTCGAGAAGACAAAGTATATAATGTCATGTGCGAACAGCTGGAAATAGAAAACCAAAGGGGAAGAACACACTTGGCATTTCTCAAGCTGAAAGAACTGAAGAAAAAAATGAAGCCTCAAGTTGCAATAGTGAAGGATTCTATGGGGAAAATATTAAATGACGGAGGAAACATCAAAAGAAGATGGAATAATACAAGAGTCACTATACCAAAAAGAATTGGTCGACGTTCAACCGTTTCAGGAGGTGGCATATGATCAGGAACAGATGGTACTAAAGGAAGAGGTCCAAGCTGCACTGAAGACATTGGCGAAAAACAAGGCTCCAGGAATTGATGGAATACCAATTGAGATGTTTCAAGAAACGGATGCAGCACTGGAAGTGCTCGCTTGTCTGTGCCAAGAAATTTGGAAGACAGCTGCCTGGTCAACCAACTGGAAGAGATCCATATTTGTACCCATTCCAAAGAAAGGTGATCCAACAGAATGCAGAAATTATCGAACAATATCATTAATACCACACACAAGTAAAATTTTGCTGAAGATCATTCAAAAGCAGCTGCAGCAGTATATCAACAGGGAACTACCAGAAATTTAAGCCAGATCCAGAAGAGGACGTGGAACCAGGGATATCATTGCTGATGTCAGATGAATCCTGGCTGAAAGCAGAGAATACCAGAAAGATGTTTACCTGTGTTTTATTGACTATGCAAAGGCATTCGACTGTGTGAATCATAACAAATTATGAATAACATTGCAAAGAATGGGAATTCCAGAACACTTAATTGTGCTCATGAGGAACCTGTACATAGATCAAGAGGCAGCTGTTTGAACAGAACAAGCAGATACTTTGTGGTTTAAAGTCAGGAAGGGTGTGTGTCAGGGTTGTATCCTTTCACCATACTTAATCTGTATGCTGAGCAAATAACCGAGAAGCTGGACTATATGAAGAAGAATGGGGCATCAGGATTGGAGGAAGACTCATTAACAACCTGCGATATGCAGATGACACAACCTTGCTTGCTGAAAGTGAAGAAGACTTGAAGCACTTACTGATGAAGATCAAAGACCACAGCCTTCAGTATGGATTACACCTCAACATAAAGAAAACAAAACTCCTCACAACTGGACCAATAAGCAGATTCATGATAAATGGGAAAATATTGAAGTTGTTAAGGACTTCATTTTACTTGGATCCATAATCAATACTCATGGAAGCAGCAGTCAAGAAATCAAAAGATGCATTGCATTGGACAAATCTGCTGCACAAGACATCTTTAAAATGTTAAAAAGCAAAGATGTCACCTTGAAGACGAAGGTGTGCCTGACCCAAGCCATGGTGTTTTCAGCTGCCTCATGGGTGCAAAAGCAGGACAATGAATAAGGAAGACCGAAGATTTGACGCCTTTGAATTTATGGTGTGGGCGAAGAATATTGAATATACCTCGGCTTGCCAAAAGAATCAACAAATCTGTCTTGGAAGAAGTACGACCAGAAGCAAGGGTGGCGAGACTGCGTCTCACATATTTTGGAAATGTTATCAGGAGGTATCAGTCCCTGGAAAAGGACATCATGCTTGGTAAATTAGAGGGTCAGCGAAAAAGAGGAAGACCCCCAACAAAATGGATTGACACAGTGGCTGCAACAATGGGCTCAAGCATAACAAGGATTGTGACGATAGTGCAGGACCGGGCACTGTTTTGTTCTGTTGTACATAGAATCACTACGAGTGAGAACCAACTCGATGGCACCTAACAACAACATATTAAAAAAAAAAACCAAAGTCATTACAGTCAATTCACCATAATTCAAAGGCATCCATTCTTCAATCTTCCTTATTCATTGTCCAGCTTTCACATGCATACGCAGTGACTGGAAATACCATGGCTTGGGTCAGGCGCACCTTAGTCTTCAAGGTGACATCTTTGTTTTTTAACATTTTAAAGAAGTCTTTTGTAGCACATTTGCCCGATGCAGTGTGTCATTTCATTTCTTGACTGCTGCTAGCCTCCTAAACTGTGAGAAAATAAATTTGTTTGTTAAAGCCATCCACTTGTGGTATTTCTGCTAGAGAAACACTAGATAACTAAGACAGAATTTCGTACCAGAAGAGTGGGGTGCTGCTCTAACAGATATCTAAAACATAAAAGTGGTTTTGGAATTGGGTAATGGGTAGACAATGGAAGAGCTTTAAGGTGCCTAACAGTAAGAGCCCAGATTGCCTTGAAGAGACTGTTGGTAGAATCGACAGGCAGTTCTGGTGAGGGCTCAGAAGGAGGTGAGGAGAGCTATAGAGAAAGTCTCTGTCATCTCAGAGAATACATATGGCACCAGCAACAGAATGTGGCTAGAAATGTGGACATTAAATGTGCTTCTGGTGAGGCTTTAAAAGAAAATAATGACCATGTGATTGGACAGTGGAGGAAGGGCGATGCTTTTTATGCAGTGGCAAAGAACTTGTCTGAATTATGTTCAAATGTTTGGTGAAAGGTAGAATTTGTAAGTGATGAACTTGGATATCTGGCTGAGGAGATTTCTAAGCAAGATCTTAAAGGGGCTGCATGGTTTCTCCTTGCTGCTTATAGTAAAATAGGAGAGATAGACTTAAAAATGAACTATACAAAATGAAAGCAGAACTTAAAGATTTGGAAAATTCTGTTGTACAAACTAAGGACACGTGTCCTAGAATGTTCACCAAGGATGTGGCTACACCATCTTTTGTTAAAGAGATTAAGCCTGTGACTGATGGTTCTAACCAACTACCACAGCAGAAAACCCATCAGCTTAGACTGAAGGGGACACAGAAAGAATGAAGGGAGAATGCTGTCTGCCTCTGGGAATTCTACAGGCAAGAAACAGGCCAAAGGAGCTACATCTGTTGTCCTTTAAGAAAAGGACAATCCATGGAGCAGCTTGGAGATCGGCAGAACTGTTAGAAGGAGCACAGGAAACAGGGCCTTCTCAGTTTCAAAGGGTGGGGCCATGGTCTCCTGGATCTCAAAGGTTTCAAAGAGTCAGATCTGTGCCAACTTGGTTCTGGAGTGTGGGGCTGCCGTTAAGGTGTGCCAGGGAAATGGGGCCACCACCCAAAGTGGAGGAGATCAGGCTGCCATGCCCAAGGGACAGAAGAACTGGGCATATTTCTTAACTTCTCCAGGCACAGGGATGTTGGAAGAGATTCTGGAGGGGTGTGTGAGGGTTTAAGAATAATCTTTGAATATTTACACCTTGGAGGTGACTAGGGGTGGGACTTTATTAAGGAAGTCAGGAAAGAAAAAGATAAGATCACTCAAACTTCAACAATGCAAGGAGAGCTCCTAGAAGGTTCTCTCTGTCTTATAAAGGAGCCCTGGTGGCAAAGAGGTTAAGAGCTCGTTTGCTAACCAAAAGGTTGGCAGTTCGAATCCAGCAGCAGCTCCTTGGAAATCCTATGGGGCAGTTCTAGTCTGTCCTGTGGGGCCGCTATGACTCAGAATCAACTGGATGGCAATGGATTTTTTGGTTTTGTCTAATAAAGGGTCAGATCTATTGATGGCTTTCATCAGGGCCAGGACCATGGGACAAAATTTAAGGGGATGCCAACAAACATAGTAATCAAGGTAAACAACATTTTAATGCAATATCTTTAAACATCAAAATCAATGCAAAAAATCCATGATGAACAAAACAGAATTACGCCTCCTCCCCCTCCACCACCTCCTTATCCTCACCACCAGGGATATTTGCTCCCAGCAGCACCTATCCCCCATCCTCCAATAAAAAACCCGGGGATTTCTGTATCAAGCGTCGCGTCTCACCACCACCACCAGGGGGCCTTTTGCTGTTTGCCCCAGGTCCAGCTTCCACCACCCTCCAAGATCCCAGGAACACACGATCCTAACTTCCACTCAGGTAATTTGGCCCAAACCAATCCTGCTCTCCCGGAAAACATTATTGGAGTTCCCTGTCAGTCCTTGCGTACCCTCCTACCGCCAGAGACGCCCCCAACCCGGGAGTCCCGGCTTAGTTTAACTCCTTTGCCCCACTCCCTCATGCCCAGCCCTGAGCCGCCCGCACATCGGCTTCCTCAGGCCGTGCATCCCGCCCATCGCTTCTGCGCGGGAAGGGCGCGCCGGGCCGGGACCTGCGTGCGGTAGCCGCGCTCCTCCGTGCCGCTGAAGGTCAGCGCACACCGTCTGTTCACCGGCCGCTGACACGCACCAGTAAAGCGCCAAGAAGGCCACCTTTTTTCAAAATCTTCTGGGGCTCCCGCGACGCTGTCGCGATCCGCCGATCTCACTGGACCCCGGGAGAGAAGCTTCTGAACCCTGTGGTAAGAGAACTGACGCCTCCTAATCTTGGTCTCATAAACGGTGCAGATGTCGACGCTACCGTGCGTTAGCCAAAGCTCCGTTCGCTGCTCTACGTCAAAGACTACATTCCCCAGAGTCCTTTGCGGTCGCTTCCGTCCTCCGTTAGTCCCGCCCCTTAAGCGGGAGCACTTCCGTTTGGTCGTTCCGAGCCGGAAGGCTGATTGGCAGCCGGGTGTGCCAGCGTCTTTTCCGCAACGGCACCACTTCGTTCTCTGGGCTTCAGCCTCAGGATCGGCAGCGTGTACCCGTGTACTGTGAGTGCTCTATAGGCATGGCCTCGTCCAGTCAGCACGTCCCTCTGCTTGTCCCCATTTGACTCAAGGGGACACAGGCTGGGAGAGGCAGAGCTGCCTCTAAACCCGGGCGCGCACCTGTAGGCATTTCCAGGCATTTCCCCTTTCCCTCACCCCTGCAGGCTCCACTTCAAGGCCAGAACTTGGCGCTGAGCTTGTTGGTGCTCGGCCACCCCGGGCCCTTTTTCCAGGGCTCTTGTTGGGAATTGGGCTGCGCTGGTGAATTTCGTGACCCCCTCGACCCTCGGTTGTGGGGCTCTGTGATAAACCCTGCTTCAGCTTGTGGGGAGGAGGTTTCCACCTAGGCACTCTGTCGTTTTTCTTCACGCCCCAGATCGGTCTAATGAGACTTCGCCTTTCTCCAGGGAGAGCACTCCGGAGGCCAGGAAAATGGCCGCGGGGCTCCTGAGAGCCAGGAGAGAGGTGAGACTTCTGTAATTCCATCTTGGCCGTCAGCAGGGTGGCTCTGTCCCTTGTCTTGCCTTGGAGCTGGCTTGCAGGTACCTCCTTGCAGGTCCTGGAGGAGGGGCTCCACGTACATGGAGCCCTCCTTCAGCATTCCTTTCTGCTCCATCCCTGCCGCCGTCATCCACGCGGTAGTTCGTTGTAAACAACGCCCACGGAGCGGTTAAAATAAAACCCCGGGAAAGTCCCTGCTCAACTGTTGCGTGACATGGGTGAACGGCAGGGGCAGCAGAGATCCACGTGGCCTGACGTGGTTGGAGAGAGGGCGTCCAAGAGGAGCAGGACCCTTGGGGAGCTGCTCCTGAAGGGTTTGGGAAGTTGGCGAGTTGGGGAAAGAAATGCCAGTGGGAGGAGGGCAGGAGGCATCGTTAGTCACAGAAGCTGGGCCACTGGGCACACTCCCCTTACCACCGTGTGAGAGGATTGTAATGATCAATGGGCTTACTTAAGACTGACTTTTAAATATGTACAGGTGGAGATACAGACTAGTTGTCCACATGTGGAACAGGGAACGGTTTGATATGGAGTGACCTGGGTTTTACATTGGAGAGCATTTTCAGCATTTGGCAGTTGGGAGATTTCACCAAAAACTCTGGATTGCCTGCTTCTCAGAACTAAATCTACCCTGACTCTGCACTGTCTGTTGGTGTCAGGCAATTTGAGCTGAACAGTGTCTTCATCATTCAGACATGGCCTGCAGGGTCTAGTACTGTACTTTCTATGTCTCTTCCCCACTGAGGCTGAAACCATTGATCAGCTCACATGTCGCTTGCCTCTCTAATTTTTATTACCTACTTGGTTCCACCTCTGAGTCTGGGTAGGGGCACATCAAACAGAATCCCGAATGCCAGGTTGGAGAGTGTCGACTTTGTCTTTGAAGGATGCTGAGAAGGGGTTTGACATAGGAAATCAGTGATATATATGGGAAATAGTGATTGGCGATGTATAGGGGCTTAAAGAAAAGCTTTCTAATCCATGAGAATGATGTCTGTGATGAATTTGGCTTAACTGGACGCAGTGAACATTTATTGAACTCCTACACAGTTGCCAGTCTGTCATTTTTGATATGGGTTGATTTGGCAATTTCAGATTTGCCTTGATTGTCCTATCAACAATCAGAGTAGAATTTGGACAGAAAAGGAGGTCTGGATGTATTCTTAATCCTGGTCACCTGTGATGGAGAATTATGTGTTCTGGATGTTATCAGAAAAACATGGAGAATTCTGTGCTTCTCGTTTGTAAAATACCTTATTTGAAAGTGTCAATACCAAGAACGCATAAGAAATCCAATTCAGAGCATTTCCCAAGGTCACGCTGGATCCTTTGTGCGTGCGCTTTCTTTACCACTGTTCATGTTAATAGGGAAACGTGCTGATTCCCAGGGAAAAGCCAGACGTTTGTGTCTGCTGATTTTTCCTGCTCCACCTGTCCCACGTTCAGGAAGACCCTTAGGTCAACCCTGAGCTGTATCCTGTATATAACTAACATCTGCCTCAATATAGCTTTTTTCAAAAAGTGTTTTCCTCAGGAAAAATTGATCAAAGGGCACAGGCATTTGGATGGCTGAGTTGTTTCGGATAAAACCCCTCTGCCTAGAGGCATACCCGGCACAGGTGCAACGGTTGAGACATTAAGGAACCACAACCTTAAGTAAATGAATTTGAAGGAACTAAGTAACAAAGGAGTTTCTGTTGGTTGTTTTGGTGTATGTTATTTGAGACATGTAATTAACTACATATTTCAGCAGGTTTGGGTCGAATTTCCTGATGTGCATGCCATCTGAATTAGACAGAAGAATCTAAGCAAATATAGTACGACATTAAGTATCTCTGCCAAGGACCTTTGCCTGAGAGGATAAATTGGAATTTGTATTTGCTTGTAACAAATGAGATGGGCTGTCAGACACCTTGTTATTTCTTGGCATTTTTTCACTGAGCCGTTCAGCAAACCTGCTGAGTGTCTGCTGTGTGCAGAACACCTTCATAGCCTGTCATCAGTGATGTGTAGTACAGCTTGCACACTTGTGAGTCTTCCATTTTATTCTGGTGTTCATCTATCATTGGGTTTGATTTAATTAAATTAGTTGATATATACATACATGTGTCTACATAATACATTTTTGACAGGCCTTAATGATAAAATCATAGTTTATTAAAGATAGTGACAATGTATCGACTCATACCCATATTTTTAAAGATGAAGGAACAGCCACCATTTATCCCACAGAAATTGATTTCCAGAATAGTCCATGGAATGAACGCATCCACCATTTCCAAATTTTTGGACATTTTAACTTGTTCCTTGGTGGTGCAAATGGTTAATGTGCTCAGCTGCTAACCGAAAGGTTGGAGATTTGAGTCCGCCTAGAGGCACCTCCTCGGAAAAAAGGCCTGGCGATCCACTGCCGACAAATCAGCCATTGAAAACCATATGGAGCACAGTTCTACTCTGACGCACAGGAGGGCATGAGTCGGAATCGACTCTACAACTGCTGGTTTATTGTTTAACTGTTGGAAATAATGCTTGTATGTCAACATTGTACGTGAAACGCTTTTAAAGATTCATATTTATGCGACAAAAAAGAAAGTGACAAAGTGAATAGAAATGGCTGTTTTGAAGCATCGGGCACCCATGCACTTTGAACTCTGCCTGTTCTGAAACATTTGATCCTGCCGGGTATTTTTCCTTTCTGAGACGCCCTCCTTCCTCCCTGTCTTTACATTCCCAGGGCAGACCTTCTTTTCCTCTCATGCGGATGCCCACAGTGTCCTGCTCTGGTTCCATATGCTGACATGGTCCCCTGCTGCCCGCTGCATGCGTCTGTAGTTTTCGTTTCCCCCCAAACATTACAGTAACATCACTTTTCTGTTCAGAAGCCTTCAGGGGCTCTCAACAGTGTCTTAGGTATTTAGAACAGTACTGACTTTAAAGGTTTTGTCGTGTTGTCTGACATCAGTTTGATTATTCATTCAAAAACGTGTTTATCGCCACCCCAATGGAGTCATCGTGTATATACGCGTAATTTAGGTAAGTTCACTTTTCATGCACTCAGTTGAAGAAAAGGAAGAATTAACTATTCAGGTAGTTCAAGTGAATCTGTTCTCTTTTCCGTTTAATGAGTCCGTGCTCTAAGGGGGAGTGAAAAATGGAAGGGTTCGATCTGTTACTCTCTTAAGTCTAAACAGTTTCTGAGATCGGAATCTCAGCAAGCCAAGGATGATGTTAGTTGCAAAATATTTTTCATACAACACGATTTCCCTATCAGTGTATCAGTTACCCTTTGCTGCATAATAAACCACCCAAAACTTAGTGGCTGAAAACAAAATCACTTATTAGCACACAATTGAATAGGTCAGCATTTGGGGCTGGGCTCAGGTGAGCGCTGTGCACATTTCACCGGGGCTCACTCATGGTGTTGCAGTCAGCTGGCGGCTTGGCTGGGGCTTGGTGACCATCCATGTGTGACAGTTATCAAGCTGGTTGCCTGCGATGCCTGGGTTCTTCTTGGTTCTCTTCCATGTGGGCCTGGGTTTGTTCCAGAAACTCCATCTGGGCTTGGGTTTCTCTACACAGCAAGAGAGGGGACAGCCCCCGATAAACAAATACCTGTAAGTCTCTGCTTGGATCATGTTTCTAGTGTCCCTTTGGACAAAGCAAGTCATGTGGCCAAATCCAGCATCATTATGGAAGGGGATAGCACAGGAGTGTAGATACAGGGAGATATGATTCATTGGGGTTCATTACTGTAACTACCCCAGTCTGCCCTTGATTCATAGCCTTCCCATGTACAAGATACACTCACCCCCTCCCAGGATCCCCAAAGGTTTCATCCTTAGACTCAAAGTCCAGTATCTTATGTGCATCAGTTTGGATGTGGCTAAGGCTTCTTCAGTGAGACTCCTTTTGAGTTAGAGACTTGTATACTAAAAAGACAAGTTATTTGTACCCACCCCCCCATAGACCATCCACCATCCACCTAACAGACAGTGGTGATATGCAGGGACAGGGAAGCTTCAATAGACGCTCCCATTCAAAAAGTGGAAGAATGGGAGGCACATAGGAAGGAGGCTTTTATGAGCTTTGAACCATCTCTAGCCTTTTTAGTCCAGTCATACAACTTCCTTAAAAACTTTGTGTTTCCTATGTATCAGATTATAGTCCACTCTATTAGACAAAAGCTACACTCACAAATCTTTTCCAGATAGGCCTCTCATCTTTTGGGCTGCTGTAGGACCCCAGATGGCCGTAAGAATCTCAGAAACACTTTTGTCTAGCTTAGAGAGTCTACTAGGCACCATCTTAACACTTTCAGAGATCTTAAGGGGTCTTTTTACCCTGAATCCATTTCTTATTTTGAGACTTTTTTTTTTTTTTGCCGGCAGGGGATGTAAAACTGTTTTATCTTGTACTCTGGCAGGTACTCGTTCATCTGTATTTCCTCTCACTTTTGCTGGGAACTGTTTAATTGCTTCTTTAGCATTTCTCTTTCTGTACATTATTATATGTAGCTGGAAGCATCCAACTGAAACTTTTTACAGGCTTTCTGGTGATCTCCTTAGCCAGATCTGAAATTCATTAGGAATGTTTTCTATTTTCCAAGTTCTTGCTGGCCATGAAGTCACTAATCCCTGCCGTGGGCCACCGTTTTCAAGCCACCGTAGCAGTGCCTCACCACTTTTCCAGGCTCCCCTGACAGTTTACTTTTCCAGTCTTTGCTAACAGTTTCCTGGATGCTTTCTGCCTGTGTCCTCGTCCCAAAGCCAGTGTCACAAGCTTTAGGTATTGGCTGTGGCAGCACTTCACTTATGTGTACCAATTTAGTGGCTTAGAAAACTCAGTGGCTTGAAACAAAATCATATATTAGCTCAGAATTCCATGGGTCAGTAGTTCGGCTAGGTACAGCTGAGTGGTTCTCTCAGCTCACCTGGGCTTCTTACGCCCGTGACTGTAGTCAGCTG